TCCCCTCTTCGGGTTAGAATTCAAGATAGGAGGCCCCAGGGGAAAGGACAGGAACCTAGGCCCTGCTGTGCACCCAGATGACTACCCATAGCAGCAAGAGGGGCCCAGGCTTACTCTCTGTGGAATTACCCACTTTCCCCCCACAGCCCAGAGTGAATGCTCAGTCATTCTTCTGTTTGTTTTAAAAAATTATTTTGCTTAACATTATTATTATTATTATTATTATTATTATTATTATTATTATTATTATTATTTTCCAGTTTGATCTGAGAGAGAGAGAGAGGGCAAGTGAGAAAGCAAGTCACCAGGTCCAGGACTTGAACCGTGGTCGGCCATGTGGGAGTCCAGTGCCTTTAACTCACACCACCTGCCAGCCCCCACTCATTCATTCTTTCACTAAACATTTACTGGGTGTCCCTCCAAGCCCAAGCTCTGAACTGAGCCCTGGGGGGGACAGCTGTGGACAAAACCCAACCCTCCCCCCCCATCAAAGTGAGTAGACCTCGGTGGAGAAACGAGGCTGAAATCATCACAAGTTTGTGGGAAATTCGGGGTGCTGGGAAGGGAAGTCTGGGTCCTGAGGAGTACATGATCGAGGGGACTGAACTGAGGAAGCAGCATTTTGACTAAGACCTAAAGGATGAGAAGCGAGCCAGGCAGAGTTGGGGAACCACCCTGCAAACGCTGGGAGGTGAGGAGAAGCTGGCTTCCAGGGAACCCGAGTTCTCAGTGGCTGGAGTGTGGGAGTGAGAGAAGGGACCCCCTTTAACGCTGACCCTCTCCGTTGACTGCCCCTGTGATCCCGGTACCCCAGTCACCCTGGCCTCTGTTGCTCTAGAACTTGTCAGCGCCTCCCCTCTCAGGTCCCCGCTCTGCCTAGGACTCTCTCCCGGGGAATCTATTTGACCACCTCCTCGCTTCCTTCACGTTCATACCCGAGTCTCATCTCCTCAATCCTATCTTCTTAAGGGGACCCGTCTGAGCAGCCCGTTAAGACATCATGGTCTCCCTACCCTTGCCACAAGCCCTCTTTCCC